CCCCCCCCCCCNCCCCCCCCTTGTTTTTTTTTTTTAACCCGCAGCACTCTCACGTTGTCACACACTCGCTGTGCCATGCGTTCTTATTCTCTGTTAGCCAACAATCCCAGTGGTTTTCCACATTCCCCTATTTTGCATCGCCGCGCATTGCCTCTGGGGGCAGCCATGAGTACCATCACTATCCTCCTACACCCTTCCCTGCTCCCCATCCGCTCAATCTGACTGGTGGCACGGACTTGGAGGCCCAGACTACAACACAGCAAGGTCGCTTTACATTGCGCGTGGCTAGTGAAAAAGACCGCAGTGATCAACGCGAACGCAACTATTTCCGAGGCGAGTTCCTCGTTTACGACGAATATTGCCAACCCGGCGAGGAGACGAATCACACACGCGAGGCCCGTCGCATCAACTCTGTCAACGCCGAGCGCGAACTAGGCCTCCCCATGCAGCACTTTTTGGAAGAGTTTCGGTCCGTTGGTGCCTTCTTGCAGCAGCAGAATCTCGCACTCAAGGCCGTGCTCGAGGAACAAGCCATGCAGTGGTCCCAGATCTTTGAGACCACCAAGCAGATCAAGCACGCTCTAGGGTTGGATCAGCCTCCAGGCAGCCAGCGCCATGGTGCAACGCCCGCCTCGCTAGCGCAGCAACTACTCGTCTCCATTCAGCGCACAGAGCTCGAAAATTCCAACATGCACAATCGCTCGTATCAACTCGAGGAGTGTTGTGCCCGCCTGACCGAACAACTCAAAGAGCTTGGACACCAGCCAGCGGCGGCTGCCCCGCCCCCACTGATCCCATTTTCACAGGAAAAGGAGGAAGAACCTGAGCCTCAGACGCCTGCGCCTGCCGACCCGGACCCCGATGCATCAGAGGCAGATGACGAATTGGAGCCGCTCGAGCATGTGCAGCAGTCGGGTCACCTCAACTTTCCCCAGGCAGGAGGTTATATGGAGGACATGGATGCGCAACAGTACTATGCCCAGCAGTTGCGCATGACACCGCCTCCAGCCCTCGACCCGCGCTTGCTCGCGCATCGTGGTTCCGCCTCCTTTGGCCCGCTCTACGACCCGAACATGTCACTGGCTGCAGCCTACCACCCGACCAGCCTGATGTACAATTCTGGTCTGCTCAGTGGAGCATACGATCCCCTGCAGACGCTCAAGACGCAAGCCTTGCTGCAGCAGCAACGACAGCAGCAGCAGCAGCAGCAACAACAACGCCTGCAACTGCTCCTGCTTCAACAACAGCAACAACAACAGCAACAACAGCAACAGGCTGCCGCACGAATGCAGCTGGAGCAGCGCCGCCTGCAACGGCTGTCACGACGTGAGGGGAGCCAGTCTGGCCTTCAGCTTGGGGGCAATCCCAGTGTTGCATTGCCAACACTTGATGCCAATGCGCAGGCCCAGAACGCAGGCCCCACTCCCTTACCCCGCGGGTCAACAGGTAACCTGCAACCAGGTCTTGGCTCTGCAGTCGTGCCTGCAAACAACATGGGAGCCATGCACTCCGGTGGTCCATCGACAGTACCGCCTGGAGCACCTGGCCCAACTGGCCCGACTGCAACGCCGGGGACGGCCCCAGGCTCGGTGACTTCGCTACATCAGTCGCAGCTGCTAACGCAAGCCCAGCTTGCGCAACATCAAGCACAGCTGCAGCAACAACACATGCAAGCCCAGGTGCAGGCACAGATGCAACAACAAGCGCAGCAACAACAACACGCTCAGCAGCAAGCGCAACAGCAAGCGCAACAGCAAGCTCAACAGCAAGCGCAGCCACAGCAGCCGCAGCAACAGCAGCAGCAGCAACATCAACAGCATCAGCCACAACATCAGCAGCAGCAACAACAACAGCAACAGCAACACCACCACCAACAACAACAGCAACAACAGCAACAACAACAGCAACAGCAACATCAACAGCAGCAGCCCCAGCAGCAGCAACAACAGCAACACCACCACCAAGCGCCCCAGCCCCAGCAGCTTCAGCGTTCTTCCCAAGTGCAATCTGTCGGGATGCAGGGCCAGACTGGTCAGGGACAACAAGTTCCACAGCAAGCTCAGAGCTCCACTGCCCAACAGGCGTCTGTGCAGCAGCAGGCGTACCAGCAACAACTACAGGCTCAGGTTCAGGCTCAGGCTCAGGCACAAGCACAAGCACAAGCACAGGCCCAAGAGCAAGCGCGCTTTCAGCTGCAGGCCCAAGCTCAATTACAGCAGCAGCAGGCAGCCGCCGCTGCAGCCGCCGCTGCAGGCCTACCGCAGCAGTTCGATGCCAGTCTGGGTTATGCAACAGCGATGGTGGGTGTGCCAGGCATTGCGTCGGGCATTGCTCCCGACCACGGCCGCGCACGCACCCCGAGTGCGATTGGCCTTGATCTTGTCGACGACATGTCCACATCCTCGGTCTTAGATGATGCCTTGCTGAACTCAACCAACCTATCACAATTGCCGAGTGCCTTTGCCACGCCATCTCTCATGACGCCGGCCATTGACCCTTTGTCCTACGTCCAGCCCAACCAGCTCTCGCTCAACGCACTTTCGCTCAATGCCGCGGGTCTCTCAGGCCTGCCTCAGGTTGGCCTTCCAACCAACAACACGTTTGTCCCCTCGGCATATTCCATGAATGTCATGTCGATTCCCGAGGCGCGCGAAAGCGAGATATAAGACAAGGCCACGAGTTGGCGCAGCAGTCGTTCTTTTCGAGCTGATGATATTAGCAGCAGAGCTTCAGTGTTGATTGAGTTCATGCATATCTTAAGCCATGGTTCCACTTGGTTCTTGAACGGGTCCGACTGTGCTTGTTTGATTCTTCACGTGATTTTCCTTCGTTATGTTTTCTCCCCCAATTTTTTCTTGGTCTTCACATCTGTCTGAGGCAGAATTGAAAAGTATCATCACGTGGCAATAAAGGTGGCGTGCGGTCACGTGGCTACAATTCGAGAAGTCAAGACAAATGCGGTGGCTCGCTGAGCCGTCGGAATTTCTAGTTGGCTGGCTCAGATCATAAACCTGATGGCTTTGATCAATGGCTCATATAAAAACCCGTCACGGGCTTGATTATGCTGTCAGAGCGGGGCCAACGAGCAGTCGTTGTCGGCTCTGTTGAATAAGACTCCAGATGAGCGGAGCCAGGAGTAGGGAGAGCCCTGTCACACTAAGCAACAAGAAATAGATGGGCTGTAGCCGTGGCAAAGCGTGAGCGTCAGGGCAAGTGTTTCGACTCTTCTCAAACACAAGATGCGAGGCGAGTCCAGGGCAAGCTCACTTGTGACAAGATGCCTAATCGTCGGCCGCGACTGGCCAACACAAACGCAAATTCGCTAATCTACAGCAGTCATCATGTTTGTCCCCATCAATATCAACCGACCACACGGCAAGACGGCATTCAGCCAGCAAGGCAAAATGGCACGACGCTGCTAACCTGTGCCAATCCCACTGACATGACATGAACCTCGGAAAGATTGGTCTTGCCGACCCCGTACTTCAATACCTAGATACCACCAGCGATTCAAGATGTTGGAAGGCACGTGTTTGCTGAAAAATATCGGCGTGGAATGCAGACTTTGATTTTAACTGGTACCGCCAGGCGTACCACAATGCCGGCTGTATACTTGATGACAGTGATGCCGGTGGTCAATGCAAGTAGTAAAGTAGCATTGGTAGCCAAAAAAGTCGGATAGATGTGCATACCTAGATTTGGAAGAGGTCAAGACCCACAGAACCACCATGAAAAATGGGCACGCCGGCTTGCGGGCCGCAGCTCAAGAGCGATGCAGCCCTAGGGTGTAGATGGGCGGCTAGCTGATTCTGAGCACAAAGTTGGATGTACCACGTACCAACAGAGGCAAAGAAGATGGCCAAGAAAAGATCTTTTACAGGATCAACCAAGGTCATGAGTCGATGCGTTATACCATGATTCCCAGCGTGAAAGCCCGTGTTAAGCCGAGCAGATGTGGCATCAGCCATGGAGAACATGAGCCCGGCCAAGAAGCATCCCAGCTCCATGGATACCTTTGAAATAGAGGCAGATACAGAAAAACGGGCACGTGTGGGTTTCAGTCAACTTGAGAAAAAAAGCAAGGAAAAGGAAAAAAAAAAAAAAAAAAAAAAAAAAAGAAGCTGCACTGACCTCCATGTGTTCAGTCAGTTTGAGCATTCCAAAGCAGATACTCAAAATTGCCAACAACTGGGTGGTCTCATCATATCGGCTCATTTGTGACACGAGCTTCTCAACAACAAACTAAAGCATATGGCGCGAGTGAAGCCATTTTGGCTTGAATGCTGGCAGTGCTGAGATGTGTGCAGAGTGCAAGCACAGAACGCAAAGATCGCACCTTGGTGAAAAGAGCTGTAATGAGACCCAGCAACACAAAACTTCCAATCAGCCACAAAATGAGCAAAATAACGTCACCGGTTGCAACCTAAAAGTGGCCACCAAGTGTTAGAAGCATCTGCAATTGATTCTCGCGTCACAACTTGTGCCGGCGCAGACGTACATTATCAAGTGAGGCCAGAAGTGGAGAGGCCGCAACGATGACGCCCAGATAAACATCCTGCATGAGTAGCATGCCCAGCATGTGTCGTCCATGCGTCGACTCGTGCTCCGAGTGTGTCAAGTTGTTGGCCGCCACGGTGGTGGATGACAAGGCAACAACCATGGCAACAAAAAGCCTATGAGGTAGTCGAGGGCGCGCGCGCGAGACCCGAGAGGTTTGAGTTGGCAAGCTTTGAAAAAGGGCCCTTATAGGAGAGCTGCGGCAGCAAAAAGGCATCTACACAAACGTTTCTGAAAGAGGCCGTGCAAGCGAAAGACCAAAGCACGTGATGCCCAAAAGGGAGACGATGGTGTAGATGGTGCCGCCAACAACTGCAACTCGAAACATATCCCGCAGCTTGCTAATGGAAAACTGAGGCAGAGCATCGCAGACACAAGTGAGGCTGCGCGACACACCATCCAGCAGGCGAGGGTGAGAGTCACAAGGACGCGACAACACCACACCTCCATGCCCAGCGTGAAGAGAACAAAGAAAACGCCAAGGTCTCCAATCGTTGTAATTTGCACAATAGTCTATTGGTGGCCCACCGGCAGCCGCGCAACAACGTTTGGTGAAGCGGATCACGTAAGCCTCCCACAGCAGGGGCAGAGACTAGTTTGCAGTGGACTCACCGTCACAACATTCAGGCCTGAGGGTCCCAATAGAGTGCCCGCAACGACATAACCCACGAAAGACGGCATGCTGCAAGTCATACCGGGTGAAGCGGGGCGTTACGACGTGTGGGCTTCAAGAGCAAAGGGTGAACGGGGGCGGGACATTAGAAAAAAAAAGCAAAAAAAAATAAAAAATGCAGCCGCACTTGAAAGAGGTGCAAATGGCACCGGCCAGGAAGCAGGCAATGACGAGGCGAAGAAGATCGTTGAGCAGGCCCACGTCTTCCAGCAGCTCCGTGGTGTCTGATGGCCGCGTGAGCGCAAACCTGTATAACAAGCACCGTGAAGGGAAAGTCGATGCCAGAGTGAAAATCGTGTTCAATACGGCTTCAGTGCAGCATACTGGTTGTTGTCTGCATCCACAAGCCAGGTCATCTCCTGCTGCTCTTGTTTGCGTTGCCGACCACGCGCCGAGTCGGGGGAAGCGGGCTGATCGTCGTGCCTACAACAGAACAGCATGCATTTAAACTTGGGTGCAGGCCCAGTTCGACAAGTCGAGGTGCAGGCTTGCTCCATACCTCGCCAACTCCTTGGATTGGCGTTGAATCTTGATGACGGTGATGAGGGAGGCATCCTTCACATTTTGAGCCTTGCGGAAGGCGTGGTCGTCCAAAAAACGCTGCAGCGTCTTGGCTATCGGGTCGGTGTTACCCACCAGTCACATGGAAATGAGCGATCCGTATACTGATGGAATAGGAGAATACCTCTCCCCAAATTGGGAGCAGGGTGCATTTAATGCAGACACGGGGGCCAACTAACCCGTGTCTTCAACTTCATTAAGCATGAGTGAGACTTTGTCCAGCTGTACGCGGTCATGGTTTCGAGCTTCCTCTAGCGCCTCCATTTGTTCTTGATTCTCTTCAAGCCGCTCAAGTGCTGCATGTTCGCGCATCTGCCGGTGGGCCGCGGAGAGAGGGGACGGGGGCAACAAGTTGATGCTGCAGCGTGCCGCGCACCACACAACACAGAGAACGATCAAGTCCAGCGCGCATGGGCTTACGGCTTGGATTTGCAGCTGAGCGATGCGCTTTCGCTGTTCCTCCGACAAGCTTCGTTGCCATGCAATTATAGCCTAGATGCCGCGAGTCACAATGTAGGACAGCTTGGCTGTGAGCAAGGTAGATGCTGAAGCGTTGCCAACACGGCAGTGACAGCCAAACCTGAAAGGAGGAAAAGTCGCTGTCCAAAACTGATTGCAGCTCGTTTGTGGTCTTGACGTACGAGTTGTACGTGGTGTTGATGTGACGCATCGTCTACTCAAGTCAGGCCCATTGACAACAGTCATCAACAACAGTAATCAGCAGCCTGACACCGCAAAGAGAAAGCCGCCTCAAAACATTATGTGGGCTCAATGGCAACGCACCATGTTAAGAGCTTCAATGCGCACTTGCTTCTCGGCAACAGTCAAGTCGGTCATGTTGCGAATCACTGCCACGTGGTCCATGATTGTGGCCAACACCTGTGATGTCAGGACACGGGGCACGGGGGACGTAGTTGGGGCCACATCAGGCTGAAATCGTATGCCAGGGCGCGCAAAAGAGAAAAGGGGGGAGCGGAGAGAGAGGAAAAGGGAGAGAGAGAGGAAAAGGGAGAGGCAGTGGGGAGGAGCTCAAAGGTAAGTTGGGCTTGAACAAGGAGACTTGATGGGCTCAAAAAGCAGAAATACCTCGGAGCGCTTGGTGGCAAAGGCTTCGATGAGACGCTTGGAACGGAAATTGACGCGGCGATCAGCAAAAGCAGCAGCCTCTTCGTCAGGCTGCTCATCTTTGAGGGCATCTGCGAGGAGAGGCTTTTCGTCCTTTTCGGAGGGGTCAATTTCGACGGCATCTTGAGCGTTGGCTTCGTTGGCAGTGCCGCCAGCCGCCCGCCCAGGAGCTACCACTTCCGGGATGGGCACAGCAGCCGCCTCGGACTCCTTGTTTCCAGCCGGCCCATTTGAATGATCGGCATTGCTGACAAAGGCATCCACGAGTTTTTGGGCTGGGGGTGCGAGCCAAGCGAGAACCATTCATGGCCCAGGGGCAATGTTGAGTAACTGGTGAGTGGGGGCGGGGGTTGATGTATCAACAGGACAAAGGGACGCAGGTCTCATCCGCGGCCAACCTTGCTTTTCCGCGGCTAGGTCCGCTTGGTATTGCGGCAAGGGCTGGTCTTGTGCCTGCTGCGGGGTGAAAGTGAGTTGCGAGAGCCCCTTGTCATGCCGAGCGAGGGCGATATTGATACGATGATCACGCCAGTGCATTGGCACTTGAGGCGTACCAAGGGAAGCTGCTGCTGCGCTTCGTCAACCGGCTCAGCGGCGGCGCTTACGCGAGCCACCAGCACGACCAGCAGTGCCAGAAGCCCCAGCCGCATTCTGCGGGATGTCGATCGCGCAGCCGCACAGTCCAGCCAAAACAACCCCCTCCCTCCTCATCCACCAACCCAACGCACGCACGCCTCAAATCACAGCCCCCCCTCCCAGTACGACGCGCCGGCCTCAATCACTCATCAGGCTCCAGCGCCAATTGCCAGACCCGCGTACGTGTGTGTATGTGTGTGTATGTGTGTGTGTGAGGGAGAGACAGTGTGTAAAAAATTTCAAAAGGAATGTGTGTGTGTGTTGTGTGAATTNNTTAGTTAGAGAGAGGGAGAGAGAGAGAGAGAGAGAGAGAGAGAGAAGAGAGAGAGAGAGAGAGAGGCGGGCACGACAAAAGAGGCAGGTTAGGAGAGTGACGAGCCCGGGCGGTTAATGACCGCGCGCAACAAAATAAAGAGCGGGAATAAAGTTAGGGATCATCGGGTAAAAGGGGCATGGCTAATCAAGTTTTTTTTTTCTGTCAAGGCTTTAGAATCCGATTTTCGTTTGTGGTATGGGCAAGGTCTGGCGGTACTGTCACGAGACTAGCAGCAAGGCTTACATGCCCAGCATGGACGACATGTAGCCGCCTGCATAGGCCATTGGCTTGACATCTGGGTGCCACTGCAAGTTTGACAACCAGAGGCAGGGCGGGAGGGGTTGATGTCTTTGTGAGGTGGTTGCACAAAAAACTACCAAAATCTCCGTGGGAGATGACACAACCAGCAGGACAATGGGACCTCACCACAGCATCGAATTGCGTGAACTTGGGCTCGAGGTCCTTGGTCAGTGTGATAAAGGCTCCCTTGTTACCCACTGTTGATGAATGAAACGCCCAGAAGGCCAAGTGAGCACAGTTTTGGAACGTGACAACTTGAGATTTTTCCAGCACCGCATCAAGGGACGATCAACATACTTTGGTCACAATAATTCGGTGCAGAAAAGATGGTAATACACTTGCCATCGTGAGCAACCTGGATCGATGGTGTGCCAGGCACAAACCAATCGCTCGTGAGACCAGGTCAAGAAAACAAACAAACAAAAAAAAAACTTCAACTCGTTTCAATCAGACCAAACCCCCTCAGGCCACACGTCGTGAGCCCTCACCTCGTAGCCTTCCTCCTTCATTTCGTGGCTGCGAATGAGCAGCTTCAGATTGTTGTGCTCAAGGAACTGCTTGGTGATATCGGGGCCAAACTGCAGGCCCGTGCCACGCATCGAAGGCCAGCGGCCAGGGCGAGGTCCAGGGTCCGCCCACAACAGCTCGCACCTGATGCACATGTATCAAGTCAAAAGGCACCCTCCAATGAGAAACGCGCGAGGCGGTCGAACAACTAGACGAGCTACAGCACTGTTGCCGCTCAGCACTCATGGGCACGCACATGAGGCCTTCCTCGGGGGGCTGGCAAAATCGGTCAATCTTGCGCAATTCATCGAGCGTTACTCCGTCGCGGCTGAAGAGACCGCCGTGGACGACCTAAGGCCAGAGACACGCGCCACACAATGAGTGGCCATGCTCGGGCCACAGCGTGCGCATACAAATAGCACACTTTGTCAAGCCAATGGGGCCCAGCAGGCGGCTCGCACCAGAATCTTGTCCTCGATGACGTGGCCCAGGGGGAGCGAGTTGTACACTTCGGTGAATAGATCCATGACCTGTGAGGTATATTTGGCCTTGACCTCACCGGTGAACCCATACATCTCGTTCATGCGCTCCGACTCATGGTTGCCCCGCGACATCTGATGGGATGCGTTGGGACGCGACGTCATGAGAGCGCGGGACTGATAATAAGAGGACAGCACAAAGAAGAAAGCGCAAGGACCATGCATGCTTCGAGCCACCGGTACGTACGAAGAAGCTGTTGGGGTAAAGAATGCGGTAGGCCAAAAACGTGAGGATGACCTCACAGCTGAAGGAACCACGGTCCACAAAGTCGCCGTTAAACACATAAGGGTTCTCTGGCGAGGGGCGACCGTTGAGCTCAAAGATGTTCAGCACGTCATAAAATTGGCCGTGCGTGTCGCCGCACACCGTCAGCTGCGGCATGCCGGGGGAGCACCGGTCGTCCATGTATGAGGTCAAAGGTTTGGGTGGAATCGCAAACAAACCCGAGGGTGGAAGGCAGATCAAACCTTGTTGCTCTCTGGGATGCGCACGTCCGTGAGGCTGGGCAGCTTGCGCAGCAAGTCGTAGGCCATCAGCAAAATCTGAGGTGCCAAACAAGAGGCAAGAGGTCAAAGAGCGTGAGACTTGCAGAGTACCTTGGCCATATAATTGTTGTATGTGTGTGTGTGTGTGTGTGTGTGGCTGTGCAGAACATGGTTGCATGTCCATTGGGAGCAGAGAGAGATGGACTAGAGGTTGTTGTCGTTGCTTTGCCACTGACCTGAATGGTGTATTTCTTGTGGATCGTTTCCTGCTTGCGGAACTGTTCCACCATCTCTTCAACAAACTGCAGCACGACGGCAGCCAAGGCGGTCAGAGGCAGCAAAAGAAGGGGCTGCGCGAACTTGCTTCGATCATGGGACCCACCTCCTTGGTAATGTTGCCCATCTCGAAAGAGGGGCCGGTGTAGGAGTCCGGAACGGCTACGAGACACGTCATGACACGTCAAACGAGTCTTGAGTCAAACATAAAGACGCCTCATTTCAAGCTTTTGCCAGAAGCATGGTATCGGTTGGGGTTATGAAGCAGGTACCAACTCAAGTTCTCGAGGTTCTGGCGCAGCTTTTCGACGGCAGAGATGGTGTTGTGTTCGACAGCAATGGCCTTGGCAAAGGCCAGCTGATGAATCATCTTTTCAACACCCTTGAGCTTTTGCTGGGCGTCCTTGTCACTTGGCTTCACCTACAACGTCAGCAAGATGGTACAAAGGGGATGAGACTCAAGCGACCTCCAAAGTCGACAAGGTTTCGGGAGCGAAAGCCGAGAAATGAACCTTGAGGACGGCCTCGAAATCTCGGCGCGAGGCCTTGAGGTGGCCCAGATTCATGTTGGCGGTGGCGCGACGATAGTAAGCCTTAATGAAGCGATCATCCAGCTTCAAGGCCTCGTTGGCATCGTTCACGGCAGCACCCCAAGCTACGAGGTAGTGGACAACCAGGAATGGAAACACGAGTGAGAAGCAAGGGGCGGTCAGGGCTCAAAAAGAAGTGGCCTTGTGCCAAAGCAAGAGCATACCTTCGGTTTTGAGGTACGCAAAAGCACGATTGCAGTAGTAGGCCGGCTAGCGGGAATGGATTTGAGGGTGTGGATGAGAGCGTCCAAATCTGGCCCAATGCCAAGGGTCACAACGGGCAGGGGCAGACCTGAGGATCCAGATCAATGGCCTCGGTGTATGCATCAATGGCGGCATGAAAGCTCTTATTCTTAAACGCCTTGTTGCCACTACATGTATATGGGACGGGCCACAAAATCGATGAGCCCCGTACGCGAGTGGCACCCAAGCAAGCGCAGACAGGGAAGATGCGTGCGTACCGTTCCTTGGCTTCCACAGCCCGCTCAGCAGCCATCTTGCCACTTGAAATGTAAAATCGACACCAGCCCACCCCAATTACAGCAGCAGCTCCACCGCCGCCCCCGCCGCCAACCGCTCACAAACAGCGATCGAATCAACTCTCAACTCTTCCCCGTCCACTCCGTCAGCCGTCCGTCTCCCCACGAGTTTGCAGGTCGTCAACCACAAAAAAAAAAAAAAGACAAAAAAGATGAAATTCTTTCTCTGTGTGTGTGTGTGTGTGTGTCTCTCTCTCTCACCCGCATGCTCGTTTTGTCTGACAACAACTTTTCGAGAGAAAATTAGAAGAGAAAAACAAAGAGACAAAGGAATAGCACAACTACCACATGTAACAAGAAAGATTTCGAGAGAGAAATTTTCCTTGTTTCTCCTTCTGTAGAACCTCTGAGAATCGTGTGCGGGTTGTGGTGAATCTCTTGCTTGATGCATCTTGTGAGATGAATCTCTTATATACCTTTTGTTTTCAGCTTCTCTGGTGCTACATTCCTAGCACATCTCTGCCTCTCACTCAAGCCTTGGAGCTTTCCTCTATCCATCGTGCCCGTGGTTTCCTCTGTCTCTGCCCTCGCGCCTCGCTGTGCCTCTGCGTCTCTCTCACTCATTTCGTCTTCACGGCGCTCAACTCATCTGGCGGTGAGTGTGTGTGTGCGCGCTCGGTTCCGCTCCTTGGCTCTCCTCCGCTCTCGCCGCTGCTGGCTCTTGCTGGGGCGCATGGCGAGCTGGTCCAGTGGATAAAGGGGGTCGAGGTTCAAGTGCAGCACAGGGCTAGCGAGGATAGGTGACACTACTGTGGGTGTCAGGCAGTGGTTTGTTTGGCAAGGGTGCGCGGGACCTGCACCGGCGACGAGGTGCCTCGGAGGACAATGGACCCCTCTGCAAACACGTTGCGGCTACGTTCCACTCATCCCCATCTTGTATGATACTTGGCTAGCTTGTTTTATTCACCATGGCTGGGGCACCTGGCGCCATGGTGGATCTCCACGCCATATTTAACGACATCACAAAGTCTCAGCACCGGTATGCGCGCTCCCACCTCGCCACACATGGTCTCTGCACAGCGCCGTGCGCGGACGATCATCATGGTACCCGTTGCCCCTTGTGGTACAGGATCGAGGCAGCCTGCCGCGGTATTCAGCAGGCCGAGGCGCAATTTTCAGACAATCTGCTCCACGAGCTCTTCCAAACCCTCGCCAAGGTACACTGAGCTGGATCATTCCCCAATAGCTGTGCCCATAGGCCTCGGATGTTAACCCGTTTGATCACGCTCGGTCATAACGCCACCCTTGGCTCCCTCCTCTCCCATCACAGGGTGACGAGGCACGAAATATTGCTTGCTGTTATCTTCTCGACTATGTCTTTGCCAATGCCGACGGGCCATTTTGTCAAGCCCTCCGCCAGTGCGTCCGCCCTTGCTGCTAGCTGCTTTTTTTTTTCTCCTCATTCTTTCCAAAGCTCTCATGCCTGATGCATCAATGACATGCTTGCTCTTCTTTGGCTCCTGTCTACCGAAGGAACATGCCCATTCTCTATGGCCTGGCTCTTCCGGACAAACCGGCCTTCAAGTCGCACAACAAGCTGAAAAAGCTCTATGACCGCTGGGTCAAGAAGGTATGACTCGGGACAGTCTTCACTCATTGTCCTCTGGCCCACAAGCTCACCAAGCACGGCACCTTGGTGTCTGCAGAACTGGATTCCAGAGGCTGAGGCTGCGCTGACTGATATGGCACCGGCTGTGGCTTACCGCCGAACGCAAAAGCTGCTGCACAGCACGCCCACGTCCATCGCCCACGCCAGGGTTGTTGCAAACGAGGTGCCCGGTCAGACACAACCTTCATCTCAGCAACCACACCAAAATCTCTCTTCTGGCAGTCACATCCCCGGAACATCCAACCACTCTTCAATTGCGCAACCTGTATCGCAACCGCAACACCATTCAGTCCCCCAATCCCAACCCCAGCAACCCCAGCAATCTCGGCAACCCCAGCAACAAGCGCAGCCACAACAAACGCACTGCATTGCCAAATTTCCTCTGGCGGCCGCTCACCCTGGTCAGATCGATATCGCCGTAAGTGAAGTCGCTCGATGTGCGTCTATGTGTGTGCATGTCTTCCACGGTCCCATTTCGTGGCAGGCTGCTTGGCTCAATACCCCCGTGGGATGCACCTGTTCCCGTTCAGGCTGGCGACTGGCTCACACTCGAGCGCACGGTGAGCGATGACTGGTACGAAGGCACCAACTTGCGCACAGGGGCTCGTGGCATCTACCCAGTTGCCTATGTGGAGCAAACACAGCTAGCTCCACCACCGCAAGCCCCACCAGCCCATCACCCCCCTGCTGGGTTTGGCGCACCCTTCCCTCCGCCAGGTGTCTGGGCGGCCGGGGCTCCGGGCCATGCTGGACCTCCTGCCAATGCCAACTTCCCACCACCTCACAACGCCGGCACAAATTACCCGCCTCCGACCAACGCCGGCTTTCAACCTTCCTTTTATCCGCCTCACAATCAGTTTGCAGCGCCCCCATCTCAGTTTGCTCAACCCCCTTTCCCGGCACACCAACACCAAGCCCAGCAGCCTTTCCCTCCTCCTCAAGGCATGCATCCGCAGTCTTTACCTGTACACGTCCCTCAAAACCAGCCCGAGGCCCAGGTTCAGGTCCAGGCTCAGCCCCAAGGACCCGCGTTGGTCCCGCAACCAGGACCCCAGCCCTCAAACCAGCTCCAGACACAAAGCCAAGTCCCTCGACACAGCACCACACACGCTCTTCCCAGCAAGCGCGCCGCCAGCTCAGATCGTGGTGGAAGCCGTCCTGCCAAACAACCCGCCCGGGATGACGAGATGGCACCCAATGATCCCAACGCCAGTATGAGTGCCAAGCTGACCTATCAGCGCCGCCTTGCCGACCGCCCCGAGGAATTGCCGTACGTTCAAAATTGTTTGTGTCGTTGCATCGGATAGACTGATCTTTATCACTGGCACCAATTTCGTCGTACTCATCAGGTTCTGCTCTTATCTCGTTTGTTCCCGTATACCAGGTATCAAATTGGCTTACCAAGTCCTCTTGTTGAAGTTCCTACCAAAATCAGTGCACCTCCCACGGTAAGGGGCTCGGCTCACATCTTCTCGTTCCCGTCTCCCCACCTTGAGGCACGACAAACGCAATAGGCAAAGCGAGAGAAAAATAAAAATGAAGGAAAGACAATAGCGAGGCCGCCCTGCTGTGAAGCCCGTGCCAAGTCATTCTTTGATGGCTTCAACTGATTGCTTGTGACAGGTTTTTATTTGGGATCTTGATGAAACACTTGTTGTCTTCAACGAGCTGACGAATGGACGATTTGCCCGAGCTTATTCCCTGGTCTGTATCAATGTGATGCATTTTGCCGATAATGGCACCTTCATCCTGGTAGCGTCCTCTCACTGTCGATTCTTCAGGATGTCAACACGGGCAAGTACACTGGTCGGGCTCTGGAAAAGCTTGTCTTTCGGGTGCTAGACAACAAGCTCTTTTTCAAAAAACTAGAGGTGCGTTTCTAGGCCATGTGTTGAACTGCCTGGTCAATACCAGCGCACGAAGCGAACAGATGAACGCAGGCTCTCGCAGACGCTTATCCATGCGCAAACCGGCATGCCAACAGTTGGAACGGTTTGGAACCATCGACGAGCTGGCACGCTTTGATGACGGTCGGGATGTGTCAGAAAATGAGTGAGTGCATGTTGGAGAGTCGCCTGCTTCTGCAAGTATCTAGCCTCATAATGGGCTGGCTCGACAGGGCTCGTACGGGTGCTGATCTTCGCGTCGCACGATGCTTGCGAGAGTGCAAGGCCATCTACACCAAGGTATGTTCTGGCGGGACTGGTCTTGGCCAGCACGGACTAGCAAGACTGTGTTTGGTTCCCTTAATCTTGAAACTTGGTGATGGGATATTTAGTTTCAAGAGCTTCGTGCACAGCCTACCCATCGTGCCATTGCCGATCTGAAGAAAACAATTCCGCAAGGCCTTGACCTTCGACAGGGTCCGTCCTCTTGCTAAACTTGGCGTGATATTAGGGGCCAGTTGCGCCCTCACTTTACTTGCATTCCAATGTGTCAGGCGAAAAGCTCTATGCTCTTGAAGAGCCAGAGGGTGGTTGGGTGTAAGTGTCGGTATTGTTTTAGTCGCGATGACTTGTGTGTGTGTGTGTGTGTGTGTGTGTGTGTGTGTGTGTGTGTGACTTGATGGTGAATGCACTGTGCATGGGATCTCCACATCTTTCTAGGCTGGCACGTCGCGAGGATGGCAGCGAACAAGGGTTGGCCCCGACCACTTACCTAGAAGCCATCAACGGGGTTGGTCCTTGAGCGCGCTCTCTCCATTTCTCGCCTTGTTTTACACAATATTTGTTGGGGGTTTTAATCGTTCTTTCGAAAAGGAAACGTCGTCGAGTCCAATGGCTCTTATTTGCTTTGCTATCATTGTCACAGATTCAGAAAGCCTTCCAAGAGCTCAAGGTTCTGGACGAAGACGATGAATACGAAGCTATCGACAACATTTTGGCTGATGTCAAGTATGTCTGTTTGCGAGTAGCCGTGAGGTTCGATTGCTGTCGGCAACCACACGGTTTTCTTATTGCCATCACCTCGCTTCGTTGCTTCCCAGAACGTACACGGAGGACTGGTGCGATGTTGCGCGACGTGCGCTAGAGGCATGTGTGCGCTCTCCAAAGAACAAGGTGAGTTGTTACTACCGACTGGGTGGAATTTTAGATCTTGGCCACGAGCTGATTGAGCACATGCTACCGTGTAACACACCCCAAGCTGGTTCTTGTGACCACATCGCATGTCCTGGCTGCCATGGCCAAGTTGATGGTCTTTGACCTTGCGCGATTTTTCCCTGCTGATTGCATCTACTCAGCCAGCGTCCACAGTAAGCAATACCTCGCCCGTTGGTCTCACTAACGCATCATCATCGGCGAGGCAACTCAACAACGCGCTTTGACTGCATCCCATGCCACAGACAATAAAGTTCCAACTTTCGAAGCGATCCAGCAGCGTTTTGGCCGCGACATGGAATACGTGGCCATCGGTGATGGGTGAGTTGTTGAAGCACGTGTTCGTGTTAATTCTTTTAAAAACAGGGAGGCACAGCTCATTTATCGCTTGCTTTTTTTCTTTGCAGACGCGAGGAGGAACACGCAGCTTTGAAGACACGCAGCAAATTTCATCCTGTGCGCACCAGGGAAGATCTCTACCGAGTTGTACGGCTTGCGGAGCGGCAGCAGCTGCATCAATGATGCCCGCTTCGACTCTGAATCTCGAGCTTCTCAGTGCCCAGAGGCAACCAATGCAATTGAGCTTTGAGTTTTGTTTGTCTTTCTGTTCTTTTCATCATCGGACGCTGATTCGCATGTCATTTCGTTTTCTGACCCGATTCTTCGCATGATGGTCTGAATTCTGAATGGCACGCCGTCGGAACAGCGGAAGGCACACAGCCACGCTTATGCTTCATAATCAATCCGAACGACATCGTTGCGGAAACCAAAGTCCATGAGGGGTGTGTTCAGGTCATGTTCAAGCAAGTTCTGCGAAGGGCGACCCGCCACGAGCCGTTTTGGAGTTTGTTCTGCTTCCTCTGTTGTTGCCAGAAACCGCATGAAGGTGTTGAGTGTATCCGTCAGGTAGAAGTTTCGCGTGACGCTGCAGATGATGCGAGTAGGTCGTGTGAGAAGAAGAGGCGAGGCACGGCACAGTCACTGCTGGCGGATCAAATTATAGCGTGCGCACCGTTTGTTGTTGGGAAATACGAAGCGAATGGTGCAAGTGCCTGGCTCTCCCTTGGCCGGCTCTGGATCAGTGAACGCTGGCTGCGTCGCCTGCGGTGCCGGCGTCGACGAGGGCAGGGCATCTTTCTCAATTGTGCGCACTTCGACCTCATCCTCGCTCGCTTCATTTTCGCCTTCGTTGTTTTCATCCTCGTCATCTTCAATGACGATGGCCTCGGTGCCATTGGCATCGGAAAGCGAAGCCTCCATTGCTAGACGCAGCTGTGACAAAAGCACCCCTCCAAGTCAGCACCAATCAAACGGAAACGCGTCCAGCGAGGGCGAATTGTTATCCACGCCCGTCAAGCTCTCAACCAACCTGTTCGTCTTCACTTAGGTCAATCACGTTGTGCTTGGCAGGCCGAGTTGCAGCAGCTGGCCGAGAGGTCGAAGCTGCCGGTTGGCGTGGGGTGCGCTGGCCACTGTCGAAAACTAAGGATCGCAACCGGCACAGGCATGGGCGTGAAAAGATTTGTTGGTGAGAATACGCAGGGCCTTCAACACAAGCAGGCGTGGGCCTTGCCTACATGCAGATGGGAAAGGGCACACAGACAGGGCGGCGGGCACACAAACCGTAGCTCACGAGCTTGTCCTTGGTGATGGGCGGTGAGAAAACTTTGAGAAGTTCCCCGGTGACACCACTGATGATGGCCACATAGGGAAAGTCATGAACCGGCTCATACATGCGCATGTAATTGCTGGCAACCTCCGAATCATAGTAGTGTTGCCAAAAGACGAAGCGTTCCTGTATAATGCTCCGAATCTGCCAGCGAGCCACCAGGAAGGCAAGAGGAATATCAACTCGGGCGGTCATGGAACTCGGACGCCATCAGGTTGACAGACCATATCATCCTTCCACAAGTCTCGATTGAGTGCTTGGCACGCAAACTGCTGTGGGTCCTGAATGTTGACGAGTACGTCCTTGCTTTCGGCCTCGGCTAAGCGTCGTGCCTTGGTTGGTAGAAGGGTTTCGGGCCAAAATGTTAGTCAGGTCGCTGGGTTGCACGAGTTGCAATGCAACAGGAAAAAGAGAGACAAGGTCAAGAAAGGGGGTGTGTGGATACCGAGAGAATGTCGCCATGAAAGAGAAGGTCCAGAGGAGGTTCAAAGAGTGCGGCCAAATGCGACGAGTCAGATCCGTTCATGGGGGCTCGAAAACCGTCAGCTCGGGCTGCGCCTGCGGGTGGCAGGTGGTATCAATGCAATGAAGCTGCGAGGCAAGGCGCCGTGTAGGTCGGGCAAGGCCGACACCCAAAGGGCCAAAACAAGCCCTCAAGTTGAGCTTCAGCGTGGTGGGAGAGCAGGAGGAGCTTACGAGACTGGGACATGCGAAAGGGGTCCGTGGCCACCGAAGCCAACATGCTTCGAGCTGGCCAGAAGTATGAGGCAATAAAGGAAGTGAGCGAGTTCCACCGAGCGAGCTGCCAGTCAAGATGACGCAGGCGCAAAGCCCAAGGCGCTACGTGAGTCCTGCTTCAACGTACGATTGGCTGACAGCATGCCGACGGCAGGGCCGAGCAGCGTGTCATGGCGTGCCTCGATGGGGGCGCGAACCTCATCTTCAAGCTTTGCTCTGTAGCGTAGTCAAGCCATGGATGTGTAAATATCACGTGATGGAGCCCAAAAAGGCATTGAGCAGACAGCAGGACGAGGGGAGCGGCGCGCACGTTTGCTGTGGGGGCTGGCCGCTGCTGTCCATGGAGAAGGCTAGTTCCACTGCGCGAGACATGTCATAATTGGCAGCCTAGAGCAAAGAGAACAAGCATCCCGCATGACGATTCAACGGGTTAGAAGAGACCGGGATAGACCGTGCAAGCAGCCCCGCGCCCAAGCGTCAAGCATTGGCTAGTAGCGTGCACGCATGTGGCGTCGGACCTCGAGGACATGCTTGGCCGTTTCTGGATCCAGATTGGTGATGGACATGAGCTCCGCCACACGACCGTCGGCCATGGTGTCGGCCAAATGCAGGCACGTTTCCCCGAGCCAGGACCACCTCCTCAAGCTGGTGCACGGTGAGCAGAGATGGTGGCAAGGCCCGTGGCCGTAGCGCTGTCACGAAAACCAAGCCTTTCCTGGTTGATATCGAGGCGCCGCCGTCACCGCCGCTGCCGCCGTCGACGTCGTTTTCTGGTTCACCCGGAGTCCTAATTTGGTGTTGGAAAAAGGTTGTCAACGAGTAAAAAGAGGAGTTGATGTAGCAAGATTATGACTTGATGCAGTTTTGTTATGAGTATTTGTTCTAATAGATGAAGCAAAATACGCAGTTGGAGGTTAAGTCGAAGACAAGTACTGTTGGTATGGGAGAGAGAAAAGCGCGAATGAACCGACGAAGGTGGCTCAATGAGACGGACGGGCCACTCTGGGCACGGGCGAGGAGCGAGGCGCACAAAACGGCAAGTGTTGCATTTGGCAAAGCTCAATTTGAGTTCTTTTGACCGGTGGAACCGAATTTAACCGCGCAGCGGTGTGTGTGGTCCACTCATCCTCCATCCCAGCCATGTGGGTGGGCAAACGCGTTTCGGGTGAGGATGCGGTTACGCTTTTTTGAAAAAGCGATCAATGCTCATGACCTTGGGCCTCTTCTTGGCTGCCTGAGACTGCTGCTTGGGCTTCTTTCGACGGGCAGATTTGTGCGGCGACCGAGCTGATGCCAGCGCGGGCGGCGCCTGTTCTGACCCTCTGTGCTCGTTTGCGATGCTCCCCTGTGCTTGATCATCCGCTTCTTGCTCATCTAAATGGTGGTTGACATGACGCGAGAGGGCTTCGAGGGTGGAAAAGCCCTGTGGGCACATGGGGCAGACAAAATTTGGGGCGCTCACGGTCAAGCCCAGGTTGTTGGCCGCAGCAGGTGTAGTCGCCGAGGCAGCAGCTAAGGTTGGTGGAGTGCTTAAGAGCGGTGGGCTCGAACGATGCTCACGAGCCACGGTGTGAACAAGTTCACGAGCAGACGGGGCAAAGGCCCGTTGAGCAAAGAGGGGCGGGGAGGTAAGCTCACGTGCTGGCTCGCAGCAAGCAGACTCTTGGTTGGGTGGCTTTGCATCCTCTTGAGTGTCTGCGGCACGCGCTGCATGCGAAGAAACGCTGGCCCTGCTGTCGGGCAGCTCCTGGCGGCCGTTAGAACCCGCCTCATCATCGTCTCGTTCATCCTCAGAGGGGTCATCGAGGACATTAACCTTGCTGACGCCATCGCTTTCGATCGCGCCATCGCCTTCACCTTCCTGAGCAGCTCCGCGGTCGTCCTGATTGGGTCCCATTGTGCTCGACGATCTCGTTGCCGCTCCAAAGAATGCCGAAAGCTGATGCTGCTTTCCGCTCTGCACGGCTTTGGCCGTAGCGCTGACATCAAAGGTGGCAGAGAGGGCAAATCGATTGACTGAAAAGTTGGCGGAGCCCACCTCACGCTGAAAGACTACCATCGCTCCACGGCTGCAGCAGGGGAAAGGGGCACCACGTCGTCAACCGTGAGTCAAAACAAAGCATTTGCAGGCAGCTCTGCAACTCGCTCATGACAAAACGCAAAAGAGACGAATACGTCGAGGCAGAGAAAGAAATGAAACGCAGTGCTCCCAATGGTTGGAAACAAAGGCGCCGCACGAGCACGCACCGGAGAGCCACGGCAAGAGCTTGTTCTTCCGGAGTTAGTGGCACGTCTTTGCGGGCGCCGGCGGCCACTCCAGACAATTCCCGGCCCTCGGTTATATCAGCCTGAACACGGCCTTCTTCGGGGTTGGCCTGGGCGTGGCGCACCATGTCACGGGTGATATGTGGCACCGGACCGCAAGAGCGCGAAGCGCCAAAGTAGGTGCGATCTGCACGTCGCTTGAATTGCAAGACATAGCTTGGTGCAGCACGAGTAGGGAGCAGATGTGGTGAGGTATGAAATGTTCAGCACCAAGCCCCCAGCTGGTGGGGCCGCCCAAGACGTGCAGGACTCGATGTGGGGTTTCAATGGGTAGTAAGGCAGGCAAGACCGACTTTTTGGGCCAGCGATTGTGACGCCGCGCATCATCCAAGATGCGCCGCGCCAATCCATGGCACAGGTTGTTGATCCAGTACTCAACCACAATCAGTTGAGTTGCCTGGCCTGTGATAGACTTGGCTTCTAGCAGGCTGCGCGGTGGGCCCTTGCTGCAAAGACACACATAAATGGGTCAAGCGATGGATCAAATGATCCAGTCGTGCACTAGGATGTAGTGTTAAGAAGCCTACCTCGCCACGGCACGGCTGTCGTGTCCTCTTAAAAGACCGTGAAGCCAGGCCGCGGTTTCACTGCTAAACTCTGTACGCAGCTCTGCCAGGCTCAGGCCGAGACAATCTGCTACCAGGAGCCGCTCACCGGCTTGCCGATATTGCTGATCCCCAGAACTAAAAAAGAAGTTGGCGCAGGTCACTGTGCGGCCCGTTCGGCACACCAGGAAGAGGAAAAAAAAAATAAAGATACCTGGTGCGACGAACAAGGCTGTCAAGTCGATGCCCCATCTTGCCACCCAACAGCGGTACTTTGCGCATGGGGGTCTGCGCCAGGGTGGCGCGACAGCTATTGTGTTTGCAATGAAATCGCAGTAGGGTGGTAAGTGGACAGGTGCGGTGCCAAGATCACGGCGGCTGGGGGGTGTGAGAGGCCGCGGGTGACCCCTCACCTAGCGCGGGGATACAGGGTTTGCTGACTCGGCTTGTTGAAGCCACTTCCCATTTTCGCAAAGAGCTTGTTGTGGGCAATGCCGGCACTGCAAACATAGCCCGTCTCCTCAAAGACGCGAAAACGGATCTAGAGGCGCCGAAAGGCAGTTGAGACAGGTCTATCCTTGCCCTGGACCCACCCTGCTTTGCCTTGCAGGCAAGCGCTGGAAGAAGACGTCCTTCATACCTCGGCGGCAATCATGGCACCGTGAAACAGTAGGGCATCCTCCTCGCTACGCAGAGGTTCGGAGAGAAATCAAGTTAAGACGTGATCAAGCATACACTGGTACTATATACGGCCCCCTCAAAGAGCAGCGCATGTCGGCGTATATCATGTGGCCCACGCGCGGATGCAAGGCATGCGAGCGAGCTGGAAGCACAGGCCAACACGTACGACTTGGGAAGCCAGCCAAAGCCAAGGTGATCATCTGGCCCATCATCCGGTGCATAGCCCATGACGTGCGTGCTGGCCATGGCCACACGTAACCAATCCTCCAATGTGAGATCAGCGCGCAGTTCCACCGCACCTGGCAAGGAAGGGGCCAATGGGAGAGAGCAGGCCGGAGCCCGCACGCAGGCAAAAGGTAAGGACTACTCGAGTGCCAGAAGCTTGCAGAGCATTTGTGGCGCGGGTACCTCGCTGGAGAAGGGTCAGGTCAGCGTAATGCCGACAAAGCTGGGTGGCGGGTGTTTGGGCTTCGCGTTGTTGGGCTTCTTGGGTGACATCAAAATAGGCTTCGTCAATGGAGGCGCGCTCAAATGTTCCGTACTGCTCCATGACTGCCATGATGTCTCGGGAGGCCTGACGATAAGGTTCGAGAGAAGCCTTTTGATTGATGACATCCACATGTACACAAGCCAGGTCCGGAAGGATTTTGCGAGCCTCTTCCACCGTCGAATGGCGGCCAATACCCGCAGCTTTGCACTTGTAATCGATGGCAATCAGCCCCGACCATTGTTGTACGGCAAGGGGGCGGTCCTTCAATTCCGGGTGACGCTGGCGCTCCACTTGCGTGTAAAAAGCATCCAGGCTACACAAAAAAAAGAGGAGCAAGGTGAATGGATGAGGCTGATGCACGGTAGAGGCGGGACCAAGCGCAGGCATGCGATCCACATACTCGGCATGGATGATCACCCGCGGCTTGGCCATGACGAGCGCCGAGCCCACACGAGCGCCCACAGCCCCTCCCTTCACCCTTGTCTTGCCATTCCCAAGCCCCCCGGAGCCTCAAATCAAAACCCTAACCCTGACCCACCCATGCATCCGCCTGCAGTATGCAGTCCCCGTCGACCCCGCTCCGCCTCGCCTCCCGCCCCAACGTTCAACAAGTGCGGACAGGATCGACCACATACACACACACACACACACACACACACACACACACACACACACACACACACACACACACACACACACACACACACACACACACACACACACACACACACACACACACACACACACACACACACACACACACACACACACACACACACACACACACACACACACACACACACACACACACACACACACACACATTTACCCTAACGTTCATATTTTTTTTGTTAAGAACAATTGTTATGGACGTAGAAATTTACTAAATCTGACATTTGCGTCCGATTGTCAGATATTTCTAGCTCGCGACGCAGTGTAGTGTGTTGCTCTGCACTTTCTGTCTCTCTTGCTGCTTCTGCCTGCGTCTCCTCCTGCTGCTTCTGCCTGTGCTGCCTGCTGCTCCTGCCTGCGTCTTCTCCTGCTTTTCCACCTTTGCCGCCTTGTACTTTGGTGTTCCTTTGGGGGTTTTTTTTTTATCCGGCGGCTTTGGGCTTTGCTACTGCTTTGTGGGTAGTACCCAACAGCCGCACGACATTAATTTTTTTTCCTTCGGCTTGCTGCGACGAGGCTGGGTGGTTGATTGGCCAGCAAGAACATTGGCGTTTACCATAGAAGTACGAGCCGGGCCGGCACGGGATCTCGAGCCTGGTGATTGTCATTGGCAGCCTCTTGCGTCGCCGCCAGGGCCAGGACAGGTAACGCATTTGGCTGTGGGTCAAGGTCTCCCACAAGTTGGCCTGCACAGCCGCAAGCATGTCCACGTCCCTGATGAATCAGCGCGGCTGGTGGCGAGCATGGGCTACACTCGAAAGATGGCGTCCGGCATTGCGGTCGGCTGCCCAACCCTTGCGTCGCAGCTGGGCTTTGAGTCCCGTTCGACGCCTGTCTATGACGGCACGCACTGGCGCCTCAACCTCTGAGGTTGCGGGACAACAGAGTTCAGTAGGTGGCCCTTGCGGGTCGTCCGGCACGCTGGGGTCAGCACCGGCTTCTGCTACGGGCATGATGGACTTTTTGGCCCGCCAGCCGCTTGCCTTTCAAGTTCCTGCGGCCAATGTACGCGTCCTGCGCTCCCCGGACGAGTTTTACAACACACTGCTGGACAACGTCCGCTCTGCGCAGCGTCGCATCGAGTTTGCCACACTCTACATGGGCGTAGGCCCCATGGAGCAAAAGCTGGTGAGCACACCTCATGCAAGGTCACGAAACTGATGATGTATTTTTCAAGCTTTGAACCGCCCTTGTCGTCGGCTCAGGCCTCGCGCGGGCTTTGTTGCAATGGCTTACAATGGTTTACTCTTCTTGTTTTCTTTGCGCTAGATTGACGCTATTACCGAACGCGCCGCGGCCAAACCCGACCTTCGCGTACGTACCGATCATGTGTATTCTGGCTCAGACAACCCCTTTTGCAATGAGCCCGCGCGTCTGTCTTGCCGCAGATATTGAGCCGCACAACTTCATCCGGCTGAGCAGCATCGTGCTTTGCACCTCACACACACACACACACACACACACACACACACACACACACACATAATCTGCGATGTAGCTGCGCTTTCTACTCGACTACACTCGCGGAACTCGCGTCGATGCCCAGGGCCGAAGCAGCGCCACAGCCCTGCTGCATCTCGTGTGTATTTGCTCAAACGACCTGCTTGGACTTGCTTTGCCATGATCATGAACTCGGCTCACTTGTTGACCACTCCCTTTCTTATTGTGCCATCTGTGGACAGGCCGAGCAAGGGCGCTGTGCCCTGTACCACACTCCTCGATTGCGATCGGTCGCACGCCAGCTGCTCCGCTCTCCTCTCAACGAAATTATGGGCCTGCAGCACATGAAGCTCTACGTTGTCGACAACAAGGTGATTATCAGTGGCGCAAACCTCCAGGAAGAATATTTTACGCAACGCGTGGATCGGTACGCATAGAGCACACATGAAATTATACTGCCTATTTTGCTCAGGGCTGACGTGACGGCTCATGGTATTCTCCCTGCTCTTTTCGTGGGGCCTTTATCAACCTTTAAATCAGCTATGTGATGATTGAAGATGAGCAATTAGCATCTTTTTGCGCTGACATCATTGCCACCGTCAGCCGTCACTCGTTGTACCTCCGTGCTGACGGCTCCATCACCCCATCGCGCTACACCAAGGCCCATCCAGCAGGTGAGCGTCCGCGCAGTGCTCCCTATCAAACGCATCCCCTTTGATATTTTTTTTGTCCTCTCTTTGCTCGTCTCATCACCACTGGCCTGGGATCACCACAGAGGATGTGAAACGGCACGTCCGAGGTATGCAGCGAGATTTGGGGCGCCTGGTTGCCAACTATGCCAGCGAAGCCAAGAAGAAGCTCTTCGATCTGGCAGCCACGGACATGGCCGTTGTGGCCCCTGTCTTGCAGATGGGCTACTACGGCGTTCGCTACGATCAGGTCTTTTCTCAAGGTAGAAGACTCCTGCATCAAGCCGCGACACATCTTCACCGTATCATCCTGCTCCGTGCGCCAAGCACGCACTCATCGATCACCGATTCGACGCCATGATCAGAACTGAGCCAGGTCCTTCGGTCCGAGCATCGAATTCAGCTTTCCACAGGGTATTTCAATCTCAGCCCCATCTACCAGAAAATGCTTTTGGCTCACCAGGTACGAGCAAAATGGAGCCTAGCCACGCCATCTCGAATCCGTGTATCCGCCACAGCTCGAACTGGAGCTCACGAGCGTGGTCTGGCAATGGGCTCATTGGACATGACAGGGTGCTGTCACAGTCCTGTGTGCCAGCCTTGAAGCAAACGGATTTCTGGGTGCTCGAGGTCAGTCTTGCAGCAAGACATACACGCCCGCGTTTAGGCTTCCTGTCCTCAAGTCGCACAAAAGTCTCACCACCCCCACCCCTGATCCTTTGGGCATGTCAGGCGCCAAAGGCCACATTCCCTACGCCTATTTGCATCTGCTTCATGGGTTCCAGGACGCAGCGGCTGCTTGTAAAAAAACAAACTTGGACGTGCGCCAATGGCGTCACGAGGGCTGGACCTTTCATGCCAAAGGTGGGTTCAAAGCCATGCGCGGCAGTGAAATGTACCAACAATGGCGAGCGCATGTACGCAGCGTTTGATTCACTTTGAATCCTCCGATTTTGTGGAGGGTGGTCGCATAGGTCTCCACGTTTTTGATGCTTTGAATCGCGTGGTTTTGGCCACCATCGGCTCGTCAAACTTTGGACTACGGTCGCAAGAACTTGATCTTGAGTTTCAGGTCCGGTTGCGCCTTCCCTTCCTCTGACTTGATCTCTGTGTACTTGTGCCCATGATCAAGCCAACTGGTCTTGCTTTGCAGCTGGTGATGGCAACAAACAACTCTGAGTTACAAGAGGCCTTCAATCAGGTGGGATCAGCCTTCCACGACCTTCAATGCTTTTCCTATTTCGACGTGATTGCTCAATATTGTATTTTACGCAAAACCCATTCATGCACCATTGCAGGAGGCCAAAGCCTTGCTTGAGGACAGCACGCCAGTGCCCAGCCACGAAGGTGCTGAGAAGGTCAAGCCCTGGGTCAAGTGGATCTCACATCAGTTTGGTCGATACTTTTGATGCATTGGACGTTTGGAACATGTCGATAAAAAAAAAAGATAACCGAAAAGGAGAACATCGGTGTTGAGCAATGATGGTGCTGGCTCGAAAAATTCACACGTGCATTGAAAATGTCAATTGTTAGACATGCGTCACTCGATTTTGGCATACAAAGCCATAATGGCAAGGGCGATCAGCATGTGCATCGCACCAGAGTCTTCACCCCATGATTTGGACACGGATGCATCACGAGTCGTTCAAGAAAGTGTGAGGGGCGAGCAGAGCCACAAAGCGAGGCAGTGGCACGCACAAAAAAAAAAAAAAAAAAGGACTTTCATTTCAACAGCGACAAATACAACGCCAAGACACACTGCATGCCAACACCCAACAGACGGCACGCCCCCACAACGGGTCTCTACGCCCAATTTGCCTATTCGACTTGCTCGAGAGTCTGGCGTCGTCGGAAGACGCGAGCCTTGTTGACTGAGTCGCGACGAGGTCGGGACTCGTTGGCACGATCCAGGCTGCGCACGCCCTCGAATGTTTGCTTGGCCGTCTGCCATGCAGCAAAGGAGAAGGGTGTGGTGAAGTGAGCTGGGCGTGAGCTTGTGTCCAACCTCCAAGAGACTTTGCAGAAATGAAACGAAAATGCATACCTCGATGACTTCCTCCGAGGGAGCCTCGCCAGTCGGGCTCGCGGCACCAGCCATGCTGAGGGCTTTGCGGTTCAGCTCGTTCACCTCACTATAAAAGAGAACGGAAAGAGAAGGAGAAGAAGAAGAAGAAGAAGAAGAAGAAGGCAAGCAAGAAAATCAACGTTCATAGATGATGAGTCGGTTCGCTAAGTCGGATCGAGAGGTGAGGTATCGGCATCGCGCGATGTCGATGCGAACCTGTAGGATTGGCGTCGGGTCTTGACGCGCGACATAGCCTTCTTCATCTTGTCAGCCAGTTCATCCACCTCTGTGTTAGTCTGGTAAGGCAGGCATTGTCAAAGGTAAGGAAGAAGTAGAGCAGAGAGAAGAAGAGGCACACAAACAGAACCACGCAATTTGTCGGCAAGGGTAAAACGAATCCAATACCTGTGCCAGCTCCTCTGCACTGCACACGTTCATGAGATGCTCGAGCATTTCCGTCGTCTTTTCACCGATAAAGGGAAGGGACCAGGTGAACACATCCATAAAATTGGGCAACCTGGGGCGCGGTTAAGGTAGGGGGAATGGCGACAGGTGAGGAAGACCATGTACCAAGGGCTATGCGAGAAAAGCTAGGCGGAGAAAAGCTAGGCATACCAGTAAGGGTGTTCAGAAGCGGAAAACTTTTTAATGTTCATGGAGTTGTTGGCGTAAATCATGACGGCCGCCTGTGGCAAGAATGGGGAGCAATGAGACACCAGATGCTCCTGGGCCGGTATTTGTGGCCGCGGGACAGCATGGAACACACCTTGTTGCCATAGACGTCGAGATAATTTGGTGCGGAGAAGAGGGTGATGACTGAGGGAAAGCCTGTTGAGGGATTGGGCTTGTACATGCGGTAGCCAGCATCCTGCGCTTCGTGAGCGCGGATAACGGACAGCAGCTCGTTGCGTTCCAAGAAGCTGCAGACAGCCTTGTGCGTGTAGTAGTAGCTGCAACCGCGAGTCTCGTTGTGTTGGAATGCCGTGTCACCCAAGTCCTGAGCACGACAGGGAACGGTTTGAACGAGACGTGAGATGGCTCATCAACAACGTCCAGATGTGACAGGGTGGAGTGACTGACCTCATCGAAGCGATCGTGGGGGTCAGCCCATAGTAAATCACACAGCGCGCCACTCTCGTCAGGCTCGTTGAAGCGATCCAGCGAGCTAATCGGCGATCGCAAACGCCGTGAGATGATTGAGTTACAACCATGGTGCAAAAGTGGGTGGTACAAGGCAAACGTACTTGATGTCTTCCACCTTGGAGACTTCGGGTGAAATTCCACCGTGGACACAGAAGAACTTGTCAGATGGGATCATATGGCATGCATGGGAAGGAAAAGTGAGCACGGGAGGGAAAAAATGAGCCAGTGACCTCACCCTCTCAAAGCTGGGAGGGTATGGCGGGCGAGCGGCGCATATGATGGTGCACGACCAAGGGGAGCGCACCTGCTTGTTCATGATGGCTGCGATGGGAAGACAGTCGAAGCTGTTCATGCAGGCGTCATAGACGGAGAGCGAGTTCTTGTAGCCGACCTAAAACGGTCAGCGTGGGTCAGGGGCCCGAGCACATCGTGGGTCCCGAGCAAGTTGTGGGGGGCCAAGCAATTCGTTGGGAGTACATCATCGTTGCGGATGCAAAGGCAGGACGAATGGTATACGCACCTCGGTTTGGAAGGTAAAGAACTCGGTCAAATGACGGCACTCGTGGTTGCCACGCAAAAGCCAAAAGTTCCCTGGGTACTTGAGCTTGAGTGACCAGATGTATAGGACACACTCGAGCGAAAAGTAGCCACGGTCCTGTCGGGCCACAACACGCAATTCATATCAATCAAGCTACTCAGCTTCCAAAGCTCAACTTTCAGGGGGGGAAAAAAAAAGGAGAAAGAGAAAGCAAAAGGGAGGCAAAGGGCATGCTCCAAAGCCTCAACAAGATGGTCATGAAACACGACAGCGCTGCCATCGTCAGGCGTACCACGTAGTCACCGAGGAAGAGGTACTTGGTTGTTGCGGGATCACCGCCAACGGAAAACACCTGGACGTTGTTCAAAAAATAAAAAAAATAAAAAATAAAAATAAAAAAAGGTAATGAGGGATAGAACAGCTGATGAACGAGTCGAGTCGCAAGTTCAAACGGAAGGAGAATGGCCTGGGGGAGGGAGGGAGAAGAGGACCACAAACCTTCATCAGGTCATAAAACTGGCCGTGAATGTCGCCAACGATGACGACGGGGGCCGGGACTTGCAAGACATTGGGCTGCGGCAGCAGACAAGAAGGATCGTGAGCTCATGCCAAGCATGTGTAGTCAGTCAGGTGCTGAGCGGTGCTCAGCCAGTGCAAGACTCACCTCCTTGCGCATGACATCAGCCACATCATCAAGAATGCGGATGGCGGCGCGATCCGTCAGGCGACCTGCACCAGACGAGGCGAACCAACGCGGCGCATACCCGCGGCAAGGTGAGGAAGCGCTGACCAAAATTGTTCTTGGTCTTTTTGAAGGAAAGCAGGCACTCATTCAAACACTTGGGCGTAGCAACACTGGCCCAATTGCTGGCAAAGTGGTGCGCGGGCGAGCCTCATAGAACGCACCTTCGCGCTTGAAGTGCTGGCAGAGCACGTTGACGAGAGGAATGCCATTTTCATCAAAAATGTCTACCATAGCCAAATGCGAAGCGGGCCAGCAAAGCAAGGGGCATCAAGGTCGGGCACGGTGAAGATGTGCGAAACAGGCGGGAGATGAGGATGACCGACGTCGAGTGAAACCTGGCGGACACGGGTGGGCTTCTCGGTTGTGAGGGGCAAGCGCCGGCCTGGAAACGCACCTTCCTCATCGAGGATACGGGATGCCGGGGCAGGAACCCAGCTGATCTGCCGTTCGGAAAGGTCGGGTCGCTTGGCCATGATGCTACTTGTTGATCACACACACACACACGATCATGGAAAAGTGCTGATGGCCTGCTTTGAACACAACACCTGTTCTTTACATGCCGCCTACCGACCGCTGTGGTGAAAGAGCATGTGTGCCAGCATCACACTTTTAAGCTTTATAGTGTGATAAAGCTTAACGTCATTGCTTCTGCAGGGAAATTGGAAAATATTTTGGTTCGCGTTGGTCTTGCGTGTTGCTGTTGGATGTCAGATTGAGTTTGGTTCCAGGGTTTTGTGTAGCCATGAATTGAGTTATTGTATCACCGTAATTTTACTGGTGCAGAACTAACGCATATATACTAGCAACATGATGTGGCTCTGCTTGAACTTATTGTGACCTGCGTCACAATGTGAACGTCAGATAAAAACAGTCAAGGTCGAGAACTGCGGACACTCAATCAGAGTTGGACAGCTGCTGGACTTCTCAGCGGTCAGTCGCGCGTCAGCAGACAGACGGTGGAGGGTGGCGGGCGACAGCGGCGGGCGACAACGGCAAAAGTGGGGGCAAAGAGCTCGCAACTGACTTGGCTTTTTCAAGGATACCCTATTCCTACTCTTTTTTTTCCTTTCTGTTTTTGAAAAGGCAGCAGTTGTGCTGCGACGTTAAGCATGGCAGAAAGCTCGGTGCTCATTACAGGGGCCGGCGGCTATGTGGGGATGCTGCTGGCATTGCGGCTGTTGGATGAGAAGCCTGAACCAGCTCGGCTCACGCTGGTGGACTTGGCGTTTCCGTTGCGGCACATGGATTGGACGGCACGACTCGAGGGTGCGTGGCCTTCTGGCTCTGGACTGGGTCGCACTGCATGGCCCCCTGCCAGTCGATGACATTGTATGCTTTGCCCCTGCGATTGTAGACGAGCGCGTCGAGTTTGTGAGACAGGATCTCACAGACCCTGCCTGCCTCAAGCTCTTTCAGGTTGAGTTTTGCTTTTTATTCATTTGATGTTTTGGACTCTGAAAGGTTGCAATTTGCGCCCCAAGTTCCGCGAAAAAAAAAAGCACAGTGAGCTGGCTCATCATGCGGTTCGGCATCGACAGGGCATCGATATCGTCTACCACCTCGCTTCGTATGGCATGTCCGGCAGCGCTCAGCTACAGCGCGACCTCGTGCGCGCTGTGAACGTGACCGGCACGCAACACGTTGGTCCTTTGCAGATCTTGAAACACTGTCTCAATGTGCGCTGGTTGAGACTTGGCGTGCTTGCCACTGCCCCGCCTGTAGGTCCTGGCTGCTTGTCGTGAGCATGACGTGCGCGCATGTGTGTACATCTCGACCTACAACGTCGTTTATGCTGGCAACCCTATCGTAGCGGGAGGGCTGGATCTGCCCTATGTGCCGTCCGATGCTCACGTCGACATTTATTCAAAGTGGGTGACATCGTGTCTGCGCCTGAAGAGCACTGCAGGAGACTGATGGGAGCATCTTGTCCGCCCCATACGCCTGTGGTAGAACCAAACAAGAAGCCGAGGCGCTTGTATTGGCTGCCAACAATAGTCCAACTGCCGGTATCAACCGTCGCCTGGCTACGATTGCGATCCGGCCAGCCGCTATTTACGGCGAGCACGAGACACGCCATTTTCCACGTATCATCGGCCTCTACAACCAGGGACTCGATTTCTTTGGCATTGGCAGCCCCGAGGTGCTCTGCGACTGGGTGCATGGCGACAACCTGGTTCAAGGCATCTGGCTGGCAGGCCAGCGATGCTTGGCGCAGGATCAACATGTCTGCGGCAAGGCGTTCCCCATCGCCGATGGTCAACCCGTGAACAATTTCTTCTTTATCCAGGATGTGCTTGGGTTGCCCAATCGAATTCGCATGTGGGTGCCGACCTGGCTGATGTCTGTTGTGGCCACGGCGACCGAGGCGGTTCACCGCCTGGTCGGTCCCGTGTTCCCCTTTGAGCCCTTTCTGACTCGCGCCGAGGTTTTCAAGGTGTGCTCCGTTCCCTCAAGGGCACCCTTTGGTTTGACCCTACGGCTTCTTCTTCTTCTTCTTCCTGTTGCCACTGGCGTGTATCCTTTCACTCAGTTGTTCTTGACTTTTGGTATTTGAACACTCCCATCTCAGGTGGGCTATACGCACTTTATGGACATGACGCCCGTACGTGCCGACTTGGGATATGAGCCTATTGTGTCAGCTGCTGAGGGCATTGCTCGCACACGCCAAGTCCTGGCCCCACTTGTGCGCGACGCTCGCACGCGGTATCGCACTCTAGCATACCGACTCTCGGTGCCCACGAGCCTGCTTTTTCTCGGCATCCTCTTTTGGGCTGCGCTCCAGCCGACCCCCGAGCTCAAGCTCTCTTGAAGGGCGCATGCTTTGCAAATTATCTTATTGATTTACATGTCTTGACTCGCCGATCCATCCACAAGCAAAGGAGCAAGGTGCAGGCGAGCCACTTCTAAGCCCCGGCCCCTCTACTAAACGTAGTGAGCCAGCGAAGAGACACAGTACAAGAGGCAGAGGCAGAGGCAACCAAGACCAGAAGAGACACACAAGAGTAGTGTCCCAGTCCAAGTTGCAACCTAACTTCGGAACGTCGGCCTGTAGCAGCCAGTAGTCGATGATCGACCACACACACACACACACACACACACACACACACACACAAATTGCAATGCTTGAAAGTAACACACACACAGACACACACGCAAACGCGATTTGTCATGCATTTTCTTTTGTCTTTCTTGCTTTTGAACCGAGCGCGTCAGAATCGGGCGTTTGAGGAACGCTGCCGACGGCCCGACTGCTGGACCGCCGTGTGCTGATCAGATCAGATCAGTGGGCGAGGTTGTGTGTTTTGAGGGTGCCGGAAAAGCATGGATTCCTTGGATGCGGCCGCCTGGTTGGAGCACAGCCTTGTGCTGTGCGACAAGTGCGTTGAGTGACAACGGCGAGACATGGCCTGGCGTGTGGGCTGCCTGCTCGGACGGGGACCCCCTTTTTATTTCTCTCATTCCACTGCATCTGCCATCGCACAGGTCCTACCTACCGCACGAGTACACTCCAAAGGAACTGGGCGTCATTACCTTCTTGGCCCCAGAAGACGTTCCAGTTCAAAATCAGGTGCCCTTGCCCTTGTTGTTGTGCGCAACGATTTCAGCCTCCAGCTCGCGTCTGACCCGCACATGAATGTACTGCCATGCCACCGATAGGGCAAGTACTGCGGCAACTTGCTGGGTCTTGCCGCATTTAGCAGCACGCTATGTGGAGCCGACCTTCAAGCTGTCCGCTTTACCAATGCCAATGTCGTTGTTTATTCCCATTCGAGCTTTCTTCTCGTACGTGCTTCCGCTCACGGCCCTTTCGCTGTACTTTGGCTGGACGACGTGCACGCATAGCCTTGCACGTCCTGCTGCCGTTCTTTTCGCACTGATTCTTGCGCACCCATCACTCGGGCACCTCGATCCGTCTAGGCGCTCTCGGGCCACTGGAGCATGGACACGAGCGCGCTTGCTTCACAGTTGCGCCAAATTGTCGATGGCATCCAGTTTTACCACAATGGCTTTGAATTCATTAAAGCGGTATAGATGCGCTTGATTGTTGATGCTTAGCCTGTCCCGCCAGCCTCTGCCAATCGCAATTGGTGCCTCAGCTTTGCGCTTCACCGCTCAGCCACAACCCCGGCCCTATTTGTTCCATGCTTTGGCGTGTAGTCGGTCCGTGGCGACCGTAGCAAATTCTCCGCCCTGTGCACTCGGATCCTGACACGCCTCTTCGCCCACGTCTGCCCGCCACGAGACGTCATCCGAAGCGTCTTCCCTGCGCTGCCGCGGCTTCGCATCGCTCCTGTATGCACCCGCCACCCCGACCCATCTTTATGGCCGTTCTGCCTTGCTTCAGCCACAGTCCCTTCATGCCTGCTCACAGGCCGAGAACGACGTTTGCATTTCGTAGGAACACAACAGCGCCTTCATTCAGACGGCCGAGCTTGTGCGCCATTTGTGCAGCCAAGACGCCATAAGAGGGGCGGCCGTCCTTTTTCAACAGAGGTGGGCATCGAACAGCCCCTCAAGCAGATCAGAGCTTGCAAGTGAAGTTCTTTTTCCTTTGCCCGTGCTGATCCTGACGTTCTGTTCTGCACGCAGCATCGTCTGCTCGCAGCTGCCTGATGCCATCTTAGACCACATTATGCTCTTCCTGCGTCCTCAGGTACGCGAGCTTTGGCCCGTGGCACGAGCTTAGTTGTCTGCCGAGGTTCTGCATGATGACGCCGACTGGCCTGCGCTGAAAAGGCGTCTTGTCCCGGCAGGGTCTCACAGCGTTTTCCATCATGTTGGTCCTGTGTGATTCTCAATAGTTTACCACATCGTTTGGCGAGCTGGAGCGACGCCAATTGGCCAAGCGGGCGACCCACATTCGCGAAGCCATGCTGGTGAGTCAAGCTTGTTCTCTGTCCCCGCCCCTCAGCACTTGCGCCCGTGCTCTCAAGGTCATGCCTTCTCCCCCGGTATAGGCCAGTGGCGGCCCTGTCCCCTTTATTAGATGCTACGTTGACTTTGCGACCAACTGCCGCTCAGAGCTCTGCTTCATCGGCAGCGAGTTTGTGCAACTTCTCGTGACCATCGGGCAAGCACGTGATGAGGTCGAGGCTACCCGCCTAGGCGAACGCATGCTGGCGGCTGGTCTGATAACCAATATTTGCCACCGCTACGGCTTTCTCAACAGCAATGTCTGTACTGCGCCAACTGCGCTCGCTCTGCCAACCACCTCCGAACCGCTGTCTTTATTGCATTTCAGCCTCATTCACCACCTACTGCCCTGCGCCTTCCCCTATAGAATCGATACTATCGTTTCCAAGAGGACGAGAAGCGTCTGCAAGAGAGCCGGCGTCCCAACAGCGGGGCCGATCTTGACACGCCTGACAAAACGACTCGGACATTGTCTCGCAAGAGTCTACCGGCCATTCCAGCGCTCACACCTACCCCAGTCAACAGCGTATGTGGGCTGCAGAGTGCTTGGTGCAAATGTGCCTTGTGGTCCAGCGCGGGCCGCCATGACCCCTCATTTGCATGCCTGGCCTCAGCTAAACGCTTCGTTCTTGGACTCACCCTCTACGCCCACGGCGCAAAGCACGAGTATTCGCCCGTCCAGCCGCCATTCAACCCGCACCTACTCGCCCAAATCCGCCGGCCGTCGTCACAACCTCTCGTCATCGAGCAGCACCTCCAGTAAGCAGCAATCAAGTGCATGATCGCGTGGCGACCATTGCGCATGCCGGCCCGTGCCTCGATTGGCTTGTTGCTTTTTCTCAACTTAGGCTGGTGTCTGTACAGGTCTTGTGCCGGCTGTCTCACCCCGCCGCTTGCAGTCCCCCCTTGTGAGCCAGAGTGGCATGGCTGCCAATGTTTGTAAGTACATGCGATGCTGCTCGAGGCATGCTATTTCCATGGCAGCAGTTGTCGGTCCTGTGATGCAACTCACTGGCTTCTTCTTGATGCCTGCGGTCTTTGCGGGGACCCCCCATTTAGTTGGCCCCAACCGAGCCCAGAGTCGCAACCCATCTCTGCGGCAGATGACACCCTCCGCCTTTGAGGCGCGCGTCAGCTTGGGCACACACCACTTGCGTCTTGCTGGTGTGTCAACTCTGCCGCAACTAGTTTGATGGTGCTGGGCTCTACTCTTTTGAAAACATCTATTCGCGTGGCGCGCGCGATGTTTTTGCTTTCGTCACATTGTGCATCTTTGGGATTTGTAGACGATGCACACGTCTTGACGGTCTTCGCTCAGGATCGACACCTTGATTCGGTGGAGAAGGACATGGCTGTACCCGTGGATGCATTTGAAAACCTCAACCTGGACGCATCACATGTGCAACGGTCGCAATTTTCCATGTATCCCCGGCTCGAAACGGATCTCAATCTGGGCCTGGCGTCTTTCAGCCTGTCGCGGCCTGGTCAGGCCTCTGTGACGGCTGCGCCGCTACCAGCCAACTCGCAGGCTTCAAGCTTGAGCTACTACAGCCCTGAGCAGCCCGGCACGCCAGCAACCGCCGGCATGGCCACCATTACAGAAACCGACGAGGCCACCAGCACCCGAGGCAGTCAAAGCAGTCGCGTGACTGAACCCTTTTCTCCTAGCGTCTCTCGCGTGCCGTCATTGGCGCTGGACGACCGGCTTCAGCACTATTTTGAGCACATCCCTGCGCGCAGCGAGGAGGCACGATCGCAGTGTCATCTGTACTTGCAGCGTCATGAAGATACCCTCGTCGCCGTTCTTGTGGACGCCAGCCACCGTGATGCCGCGGTAAGTATTGGTACATCGTGGTTCTTGCACCTGCCTCCCTGGAAAAGCTCACACTTTTTTTTTTCTTTTTTTTTTTTTTTTGCCTTCGCGTGGCGGGTAGGCTGTGCTAGGTACCTTGCCGGCCATCCTGCGCCCGCATATTACTCGCTGCCAAGCCTCGTACGTGCTGCGCAATCCCTATCGATACCATGTCGTTGCTGTTGCTGCTGTTGTTTCATGGCACTTGCACGTGTTATTTTGC